CCTTTTTATCTCTTTCTCTCAAAAGAAACTTTCTTCTGAAATCTTTCAAATGCAGTGGATCATATTTCTCAAGCTTGAGTCTGATAAAAATTCGGCTTTTGCTTTGAAAATATTTTCCACTGGAGAATATTTTCCACTGGATCATGACTCTAAAAAACGTTTTTGTCCGCTTTCAGAAATCCAGTGGGAAATATTTCCCAGTGGAAAATATTTCCCACCGGAGAAGGGCTTAAGCCTAAGTCCTGTGGAAAATGATTCCCGCGGATCAAGTTTTGAATATATGGATACTGTAGAAAAATTTTTCGATATTATTTCATTCAAACCCTGATCTTTGATCTTTGTTCGTTTGGCTTGGCACTGGCAGGCACGCAGAGGGTCGTAAACAAAACGAGAGAGAGGCTAGATCGCGCATTAAGGGAGAGACGGCAGAGAAGCAGAAAATTACACACTGACCTCAGCACTCTCACACAACGCTTTCGCGCAGATAGGTTGCTCCATCTTCATTTCGAAGGCATTTTTGGCGGCCTTTTAAACTCTTATTTTTATGGTTTTATGTTCCGTTCATCCTTGGTTTTTCTATCATTGCGTTACTTCGTTCAATTTTTTTTCTCAACGTCTGTTCAAGCAGATGGAGAGCAACGGCAACGGGTACGATTCCTTCGACGAGGATATTTTTATCCAAGACGATCCACAGCAACAGGTGTCTTTTTTTTCAAATTTTTTTTTCAGATGTGACTTCTAAAGTTTTATGTGTAAAAAATATTTTATTTCAAAAAAAATTTCAAAAAGCAAGAGAGTTCTTTTTTTCTCAGGATCTTTCGAGGATCACCAAAGGAACTTCCCGATTTTCTTATGTTTTTTTTCACCTTGTTTTCCAAGTTCATTCATTTGATTCTCTTTTGAACGTCAATATTTTAAAGATGGAGCACAACGGCGTTGATAACGATGATGACTGTCGTGGAACGGCGGCTGAAGTGAAAGGACAACCGGTTAAAGGTTTCGCGAAACAGGTATTTTCACTAAATTTTGCTTGTTCAATGTATATCTTCTTTGAATTCTTTAACGTGTTTTTTTTGTGATATTCTGTGGAGGTACATTCCATAAATTGCTTTCTTTTTCATCTCTTTCTCTCGAAAGAAATATTCTTCTAAAATCTTTAAAATGCAGTGCATCGTATTTCTCAAGCTTGAGCCTGATCACAATTCGATTTTTGCTTTGAAAAAATGTAGAGATTTGAAATAAAAAAGACAGAGACTATGCTTTCTATAACAAATTGTGGTTTGTTCGAGCATCTATTGAGTGATATATTTCAAAATAAGTTTGATTCAGTGGAAAATATTTTCGATCGGACTCTCACCTGCAGTGGAAAATATTTTCACAAGCCCAAGCAAAAAAACAAGTTTTGATTCAGTGGGAAATTTTTTTTTTACAGCCCCTTCAATTGCGTTGTGGAAGATATTTCACACTGGAGAATATTTTCCACTGGATCCGAGTTTTTTCCGTGTAACCCTGAAGGTTAAGCCTAAGGACGAGTTCGTTTTAGTGGAAAATGTTTTCCATTGGACACCCTCCCATGCAGTAAAAATTATATTCCATTTCCTAAATCTCCTAAATGCAGTGGAAAATTTTTTCATTTCAGGGGTTGGGTAGAGAAGAGAAAAAAATCATGCTCTCGAAGTTTCTGTCGGATAATAATATCACGGTTCAAGAAGCGCTTGTCGCTCTACAGAATCACTGCGCATGCCGCGGTCAAGCACGCAGGACTCGTGAGTTCATTTTTAAAACAAGCATTAATCGTTGTCCGTGACTTCTGATCATCCGCAAATTAAGTTTCATCCAAAAGTTATGTAGAAAATGTTAACCATTTGTATCAAGGAAAATATTTTCCACTAAGCTTTCAAGTTCAGGGCCCACCGATGTTCCGGGCTTCATTCTAAGCCCTTTCGATGTCGATGATAGGACCTTCCCAAAGAATGCAATCACTTATCATCACAGCGCCAGAAAATGGCGCATTGTTTCCGTGGTGAATGTTAATGCAAGCTATCACCCTGCTTACAAGACGATCAATGTTTGACTGCGTTAATTACTTTTTTGAAAATTTCTTTTCAGCTGGAGAGTCCTGAACAGCCAGAGCGAGCTTATCTGACTGTGGCAAGAAAAGGGTCGTCATCCGGGTTTGATGGGCAAAAAGTATATCGCGGAACCTGTGCCGTCGATAGCGACCATATTATGACTATCCGTAGGCAGTAATCGGACGCAATGAAAGCAAAATTTCAATATTTTCGTTGTTTTTTAGGAAAAAAATTTCTTCTTATTTGTTTCTTTTCTCAGTTGGATGAAATTCTTTGTTGTTGTTGGAAAAACGTTTTTTGTGATGTTTCAAAATCTGTTTGGTTCAAACACACTCGGTTACTTAGTTACTTTGTTTTTTTTAAAGTTTAGGAGCTCTTCAGTTGGAATGGATAGTGCAGTAAGGAAGGAAGGCAACTGTGAGCAGTACGTGCGTACAGAGCCAGGAAAAGGTACGACGAAATTTCGAAACTTGATTTTTCAGAAAAAGAAAAGCGAACAACAGGACAGTAAAAACGAAGACTCCATGCAACGAAATTTGATTGGATGAGTCGTAAAACGAGGATGAATGGGTTTTTGGATAAAAACTAAAATTAAATCAATTTTTTTCAATTTGAGAAAGCCAAACGATTACGTTCACTCGCTCAAAATGCTCAAAAAAGACGGATAGAAAATGGACAATCGGGAAGAATCGCGAAGATCGTTGAATTTCTTGAAGAAAATTGGATTCTTCTCTGTCAGATTGTTAAGACTGATGAAACTGATTTGGATGCGTTAAAAAGCCAACTGGAAGAAACGCGCCGAATAGCAACTTCGCGAGTTATGCTGTATTTGCAGCAGAATAGAGCAAAGGCAATCCAAATCATGGAGAGTTGTAAACAACTCAATGAGTTGATTTCAATATCGTCAAAGGATCAATGGAGTGATCGAGTCGATTTGCCACTTGCTGCACGTATTTTGCACAAGTACCAAGCAGTGGCCGCTCATGAATCTCTTCTCACAGTTGTTCATTCGATTGAACTCAGCGTCAGGAGCAAGACTATTCAAAAGTTGTTGATTCGAATGTTTCAATCAGAATTGAAACAACTTCAAAGCGAGCTGAAGAAACCTGTGCTTTGCCACGAGAAGCACAATGAGGATGCAAAGGCTTTGCGAATCCTCGGGCGTCTCCAATATCATGTACGTTCTCGCAAGGACATGATGAACTCCAGTTGGAAACCGATGGCGGAGCTTCTTCCAGAGATCCACAGCCTCTTCGTGAACAAAGTTAGTTGGAAATAAGATAAGAATGTTTATGTTTTTTTTATCTATATCAGCTCATCAGTAAGTTCATTGTTTGCAGGGAGAAAGACAAGGAGTGGACAACGAAATCGAAGAAGGCAACGAACGACCAGCAGGAGACGCAACATTGGAGCTAAACGCCAATTTCAATGAGGCATGTTTTTGTAGGAAAGTTTTCGTTGTGGCTCTTTGCATGGAAAATATTTTCAACTCGCTAGTGGAAAATATTTTCCATTTTGTTAGCTTTTTTTGACGTGGAAAATATTTCCAGTTGTTAGTCATCAAACAAATTTCATTTTTTAGGCCGAAGTTGTTGATGAACAGTGCGAACATCAACGTGGAAGCGGTCTCGAGAACGGGGATGTTGAAGAATACGTGGCGGTCACTAGACTGATTGATGAGGCAGCTCCAATTTCAAAAGTCGTGGAAGAAGAAGTTCGTCAAGCGCATGACGAAATCACGCCGGATGTCGCCGGTCCTATTGGAATGCCAGCTTTGAGCAGAACTACCATGATTAGGCTTTGCGATAATTCGTGCCCTGTGCCTGGCCCCGGCGAATCCTCATTCATTTACTCACTGCTGATACGATTCGTGGATGATGTTGGTCTGAATTCCAACGCACCGACCAATTCGTCTCTGGAAGTCATTTTTGAAAAGAAACACAAAGAACTTTGTGAACTGACGGCATACGAGTGGATCAACGTGCATCAGAGGTGTTACGCGGGATTGAGAACGATCAGAAAACGGCTCGCGATGCAAGAACGTTTTTATAAAATTCTGGTCGCTTTGAATGAAGCAATAGAAACGGTTGATATTCCCGTTTTGAAGGATATCATCTTGCTGAAAAAAGTTCCGAAGTGCTTGGTCGTTGAGGTAGGATGTTGGCTCATTTTTTCTCAATTTCTGAAATTCTACAGGCCACAAAAGAACTTCCTGCAAATGAACAGGCTCACCATACGGAGGGTGAAACGATTCGAGCTTACGAGACGCTTTTCGAGGATTTCGAAAAGGCCATGAGAGACCTCGAGGTATGTGGCAATGAGATTCGAAGTAAAAAAAACTTTCGATTTTAGAGAGAATTCTGTGAAGTTTGCGATCAAATGCGAAGATCATCTACTTTGATTTTCAAAGAAACAGAAGGCTTGGAACGTTGGCTTACCGAAGAGCTCATGGACAAGGAGGTACGATTCTCAAATGAGTAAAACGAGCAAATTTTTTTTTGTTTAGGTAATCAAAGTTTGTGTCACGTGTCGCCGACAATTCCAACAGAAGAGCATCCCCAAATGTGCAACCTACAACGAGTTGGAAACGGTCATCGTCCCGGAGTGCTTAGTCAACCTGAATTGGATTGAAAAGTCACTGATCCAGCTGGTTCGCCCCGTTCAACAGCTTGTTCGCTTGAGGGATACTGGGAACAGAATCACGAGAATCCCGGTAACTCGAAATGACCAGCGATTTTGTTGAATCCCTCTTTCATTCAGGGAACAAAGGGTGTTTTGGTGCTTTTACCTGTTCCCGTTGAAGCAACTATTGATCATTTGGTGGCAACCCTTCCTAGTACTGAGAACATGAAAATCCTGGTGGATGGAGAGTTTGATCGGCGTATCGTTAACTTGGAAGCCGTTCTCTTGGCACTACGTTGGTTAAAGGTCTCTTCAAATTTGTATCATTTTTTTTGCTGGAAAATGTTTTCAAATGGTGAATTCCTATGGTAAAATATTTTGCCACCGGTTTCAACTCAAAATTTATTTTTTTTAATGAGAAGTTTTTGAGGTTGGTTTGCCAGTGGAGAAAATTTCACAGTGGAATATATTTTCCAGTGGGGAATATTTTCCACTGGATGCTCGTTTTCGGGAGTCCAGTGGAGAATATTTCCCACTGGATGCTCGTTTTCGGAAGTCCAGTGGAGAATATTTCCCACTGGAAGATATTTCCCACTGGAGAATATTTTTCACTGGAAGATATTTCCCACTGGAGAATGTTTCCCACAGGATCCAAGTTGGATAAAATTTGATTTTTTCTCAGCATATTTTCCTCAAAGAAGAATACTATTTATTGAAAGAAAATTACTATTGATTAATTGGTTTGCAGGAAAACCACGACGATTATCGGGACATCGAAATCAACGAACACTTCGTGTTCAACAGCGACAGTGTGACGTTCACCGCCCCAACTGTTCAAGAACGCTACGAGCAGCTCTTAGCTGAACAAGACGCCGAAGATCCAGGACATCTCCTCACCCAACAGGACGTTCAGTTTGAGACAATTCAAGATGTTCGTCCTCCGAACGTCGACGGCACTAGCCTTGAACAATATCTGCTTCAAAAGAATAAGTACCTGCCGATGAAGATTGATGAGCTTGCCGGACAAGAAGCAAAAGCTTTCCCGCATTTACTTGTGAATGGTCGATTTGGTTTCAACGCAAAACGGAAGAAGAAATTGTCGCTAAGCAATTACGTCAGAAGTCGTTTGCTTCAACGCGATCGACGTTTTGCTAGAGATCCAGCATGGATTGCATATCAGCATGGGGTTCGAGTCCAGCTTGACATTGCCGGATCTTTGGGTATCCAAGCTCGTTTGAAAAAAAACGTTTCCGCTGCCGAAGTTCGTCAGCTATTGGACAATCAGGATCCCAAGTTCGCGACGCTTTTAACCAGTACTTTTGGGAAGGTACATCTATAGTCTCAAGTAGAAATTATTCTGTTTTATTTTTTAGGTCAAAGGATTCGCGCCATATTGGGATACCGTACGAAACGACCTGCGCGCTACAATCGCAGTTTTTGGGCCTCCACAGTTCTTCTTGACGCTCAATCCGAATGAGTGTTGGCCAGAAGTTGAGAAAGTATATAGCTACCTCTGTGGGGTGAACACCTTGGAAGGACTAAGGTTATCAAATTTCATCATTCGTTTACCTTTCCATCGTTTGCAGGGCTGAACTGGCCGCAGACCCTGTTCCTTGGACACGGGTATTTCAGCAACGCGTTCGTGCCTTGTTCGATTTATTGAAAAATCCGAAAGGACCGCTTGGTGGTGGTGTTATCCACTGGTTCACGAGGCTCGAGTATCAACATCGGGGAGCTGAGCATCTTCATTGTGTCCTGTGGACCAAAGAGCGGTATGCTGTTATATTTTTTTTGGCTTAAAGGCTTTATGGTTAATAGTTTTATTGAAAATATTCTCGAAATTTGAACGGGAAAAATATTTAGCTTAGCTTTTTATGGTAAATATTTTCCACTGAAGTTTTGAGTATTTACTGAGAAATTTTAGTAGCGATGATTCCAGTCTAGTTTGTTTCTATGGAAAATATTTCACATTATAATCAAACATTTCACTCAAAGATTTTTGTTTCAGTTTGGCCGAAAACGCTACAGAAGATGAATTGATTTCTTTCATCGATAAAAACGTCACTGCGAGGATGCCAGATGCGTTAAAAGAGCCTCAATTGTACAAGCTAGTCATGGATCATCAGCAGCATTGGCAAAAACACAGTGCCACTTGCCTTCGAGTCGTTAAACATCGGAGCCAATTGTACAAAGTGTGCCGGTTCGAGTTCCCAAGGCCTGTGCTAACCGCCACAGTTATCAATGCGGTCCCAACTACCTTAATGGGTGTGCCTGGTGGCAAACGTAAGCCATACTACCTGGCTAGGAACGAAAACGCCAAAATGACCAACGACTACGCACCAGCAGTTCTCATGACTTGGGGAGCTAACGTCGACGTACAAGTTGTGTTTTCTGTTCCGGAGGTTGTCCAGTACATCACAGGATACACAACTAAAGCCGAAACAAGCAAAGAAGATGGTTGTTTCTCTCAAAATATATTTATAATGGAATTTTATCAGTTTCCCTCTACAAGTCTTTGCACTCTCAATCGATTCCTCAGCGAGATTTGATGGGGATCATTCTCGAATTGGTGAAAAAGCGTCAAATCGGAACACCTGAGATGATCGACTCTTTGCTCGGTCATCCTTTCCACAAATTCGATACGGGGCACGTTTTCATCAACACAAATGCGTGTGAACAACGGGACAGGTTGCTTCAGAGCAAAAAAAAGTGAGTTGTAGCTGTTCAGTCAGGTTATTCATTTTGAAATAGCCTTGAGAAAAACGATCGCATCTTCGTGGCCAATTTCAACGACGACTATTATCCGGCAAGGCCAGCACGTCTTGAAAACCACTCTTTGATGAATGTGGCGCTCAATTTCGATTGTGTTGATGTCAAACGAGTGAAACGTGAAACATTTGCTGAAGATGACGGAGACGCGGACGGGGACGGAGACGACGACAACACCGAAGAAGTTATCAACACATACAGTGGACTATTCACTACGAATGATCCGGAAAGTCCATTTTATGATCACTCATACTTGAAGAATGGTCAAGCGCTTCCATTGACGTCCGTCACTAATCGCTGTTTTCGAAAAAGAAAAGCACTTGTCCCCCGACTTTTCTGGCCACATCTTGAAGCAAATAATGAAGCCAGCCGTGAAGATTACTACCGACGCCTTTGTGTCGCATTTATTCCTTGGCGCAGAGAAGAAGACCTGAAGGCAAATGAGGCGACGTACGAAGAACGCTGGAAAACGTGGCTGGCAGATCTCAGTGTACGCAGCACCGCAGCTTCCGAAGACGTCAAGAAGTTCATCGGCCGACAAGAACATTTACTGGAAATGGACAGAAAGCTGTTTGAAGAGCGCCGTGAAAGAAGACAAGCATTGGCTGAAATTGCGGTCGACCTTGAACCTGTTGATCAGGTCGACTATTCGCCACGTATTGTGGACGAAGAGAAGGTTAGTAGTAATTTTTTTTTTCATTTGGAGAATATTTTCCATTGCTAAGAATGTTTTCAATAGGAAATATTTTCCACAGGTTCGATCAATTTGTGTAATTTTGATCAATTTGCAGTTGAGCGACGCGAAAACTAAACTCAACGAAAAACAGGCGTCTGTCGTAAAACGTGTTCTTGACCACGTGGCGACAAACAACGATACTTTGACTCTATTTGTATCCGGGACGGCAGGAACGGGAAAGTCTTTTGTGATCAACGTGCTCGCTGATGAGCTGACGGTGCGATACACTGATCCTTCATCAAGAGGATATCAACCAGCAGTACTACTTGTGGCACCGACTGGTCTGGCAGCCATTCAAATTCGCGGAGCAACTTTCCATTCGTGTTTTGGTATTGAAGTGCAAAGTGGAACTCAGAATGGTTTAAAGGTTTGTTGAACGTTTCGTTTGATTTCAAACGTACTCAGAAACAAAATTGGGTTGAAACGAAAATTACCTTGAAAGTTAAATGATGCTCTGCGGATCCACCCTTTTGAAGATGAAAGCTATCTTTCAAGGCCTTCACTGAAAATACTCCATTGGAGGTTCTGTGGGAAATGTTTTCCATTGAAGTTTTAATGGTGTCACTTCATTGAAAGGTTTTGGGAATGTTTATTAAAGTTTTAATGGAAAATAATTTCCATTGAGTTTTAAGGAAAAAACTTCATTGAAAGTTTTAATGAAAATAATTTCATTGAAAGGTTTTTGTGGGAAATGTTTATTGAAGTTTTATGGAAAATACCTACTGAAAGGTTTTTAGGGGAAATGTTTTCCATTGAAGTTTTAATGGAAAATAATTTCATTGAAAGCTGTGGGAAATATTTTCCATTGCAAGTTTTAATGGAAAATAATTTCCATTCAAATGTTTTTGTGGGAAATGTTTTCCATTGGAAGTTTTAATGGAAAATAATTTCCATTGAAATGTTTTCGTGGGAAATATTTTCCATTGCAAGTTTTAATGGAAAATAATTTCCATTGAAAGGTTTTTGTGGGAAATGTTTTCCATTGGAAGTTTTAATGGAAAATAATTTCCATTGAAATGTTTTTGTGGGAAATATTTTCCATTGCAAGTTTTAATGGAAAATAATTTCCATTCAAATGTTTTTGTGGGAAATAATTTCCATTGGAAGGTTTAATGGAAAATAATTTCCATTGAAAGGTTTCATGTAAAATACTGTTCGTCTGATTTTTTTTTCAACAATGTATGTTCAGGTCCATTTGCGTCTACAAGAGATTCGTGGATCCTCAAAAATGTTTGGAGGGATCAACGTCGTCGGTTTTGGTGATCTTCTACAATTGGCACCTGTGCGAAGCTCGAGAGTGTTTGAAGTGATGCAGGAACGCTGCGTCCGACGACTGCTGGGATCAATGGCACCGTTTTTTTCGCTTTGGTGCGCATTCGAATACGAAGAGCTGCTAGAAAATATGCGCCAAAGAGACGACTTGGAGTACGCAGAGCTGATGGGGCGATTGCGAGTTGGCTGTTTAACACCTCTCGACGAGGAATTACTAGCAACGAGAGTTATTCCGAAGCACGATGAAGATGACGTCAATGAAACACGTATGAAATCCGCTGCAATTTTTTACTCTCATCTCATCAAGACCGATCCAAAAGCACTGGCACTGTTCCCCACAAATGAAGATGTCAAAGAATTCAATCGATTCGTAGCTAAAGAACTTGAACTAGCCACGTTCGTTATCGAAGCGGAAGACCATATCGATACGTCGAAGTCGCGAAGATTCGTTTCTCGAAGACGTCGAAACGAGTACATGGAGAGGCCGTATCAAAGGACAGAATTTACAATTGAAAAAAAGACCGAACAGTCGACAAAAAGAACTACGAACGGCGAGAAAAACGAGGAAGGGAGTTTGAGAGCAAAATCGAAGAAAGCGGCTTTCGAACGCGGCGCAGGGCTCGATCTTCATCTCGAGTTGGCTTTGGGCTGTCGAGTCATGTTACGACGGAACGTCAGCGTTGCTACAGGACTTGTTAATGGTGCCACTGGGGTTCTTTTGGACGTGAAGAAAGCTGGCGACGGAACACCTTACGCTCTTACAGTCAAAATGGATCGTTGTGAAGAAACCGTCGACATTTTCAAACAATCGGCTGTTTTCGATATCGGATCGGAGGAGCAGCTAACAAGAAGACAATTTCCTTTGGTGATGTCGTTTGCGGCGACAATCCACAAGTCCCAGGGATTGACGTTATCGAATACAGTTCTGGGGATGCGGTCAACCTTCGCAGCTGGGCAAGTGTTCGTAGGATGTTCGCGAGTTCAAAATCTCAATGGACTTCATCTCGTTGAACTCGATCCGAGAAAAATGATGGTGGATAAGGTGAAAAATATTGTTTGGTAGTTTGACTTTTTTTTATTCAGATGAGTCTCAATGAATACAACCGGTTACGTGAAACGATTGGCCTGCCATCTTTCGTTTCATCACCAAAGAAGCCGACGTCGGAGACTGCTGTTGTCCAAATAAACAGACCGAAGCGAAGATCTTCTGATCAAAATTCCTGTGGCAGTGTGAAAATCGTCGTCCGCACTCCAAAATCAAATCAAAAAAAAGGATCTTCGAAGAAATGTGCAACTCCAACGTCATCTTCAAATGATAGCGGCACACCTGAAAGTCCGAGTCTTCTGAAGCTGAAGAATGTGGACAACACGCAGTGCTTTTTGATTGCTGCCATCAACGCCGTCAACACTATGACGAAAGTTGCTGAAGAACTCATCGGGACAGTTGATGAAGTGAGGATAACTAAGAATTTTGACACTGAAATCCAAAAAAAACTGATATGAAAGTTACGAATTGATATAATATGGGAAACGTTTCCTACTAGTGAAGGCTACAAGCTATACTGAAAAATATTAACAACAGAAGAAAAGGATTAAAATGAGAATGTTTACCATTAAGAAGCCTAGTTGAAAATGTTTTCCATGAAAAGACTCTGTGGGAATATTATCCATGAAAGACTCTTGTAAATATTATCTAAAAAATATTACAAATTTAAAAAATTTGTTTGAGTTTTGAATACTTTTTTAGGAATTGAACGAAGTTGCCAAAGAGCTGAAAGATATACTTCGGGGTGATCAAAATGATGTACGAGCTTTGCGGAACAAGTTGGGTGGCGACTTGGCACAAGCAGGACAGCAGGATGCACAAGACGCTCTGAGCGCTCTTTTGGAAGCTCTGCCAACAACTATTCGACAGCTTTTCACGATGAATCAGCGTGATGTTCGTTGGTGTGGCTGCGAAGACGGTCGTCAAATTCTGGATGTTCATCCAATTGTATGTTGAAGCTTAGTTCTTTATAATGGCTGAATTTTTAGATTTTGCGACCTTTCGTTACTCGAGACATTTCGTTTGAAGATATGTTGAGGATATTGACGGAAACGGAACATTTCGGCGAATGTAACGAATGTGGAATGCAAGTGTGCATGAGTCATGCGTTTGACTTGAGCAACGTCGCTTTTCTCATCGTTCAACCTGATAGGGCGGTGGGCCAAGCTCAGCCCAATATCAATGGGCTTTCCTCGAAGAAACAGTTCATGTTCGGTTTCGAATGGAGACTTGTTGGTTGTATCGAATACAGAGGAAGGTTGGTTTCCATGAAATAAATTTTAAGGGTGAAAAATTTTGTTTGAGAGCGGTCGATGGTCATTATGTGACTTGGCGTCAATGCGAAACTATCTGGGCTGTTCAAGACGATGATCGAACAACGCCTGTAAAACAGATCAACCGTGGCTTACAACGTTATTCAGCTTTGATATTTGAGAAAATGTGATTTTCTGGAATTTTTAATTTTTACTTTTGTTGTTCATTTTTTTCACAGTATATATATT